TAATAATCCCATACCTATCTTGCTCGACCTCTCTAACCCTCTCATCAACACTTTCTTCCTATAGCAAAACAAAAAAAAGACAAAAAAAGAATAAGAGAAAACGAGAGTTTTGTGAGTGTGTGTGTTTCATTAATAATAGGTTGTAAGTTAAACAGTAAATACATGTAACATTATTATCTACAAGAAATCAAGAAAGAGAGAAAGAGAGAAAGAGAGAGAGAGAGAGAGAGGGGGGGAGGGAGGAGATGAAATCATAATGTATTTTACTTTTCTCAGTTGTTCCACACGATGTTGTCTCGAAGTTGGTGAATTTACTCGAGACAAAGGGAGAGGAGAAGCAAGTGGCTAGAGAGAGAGGGGGGAGAGAGAGAGGGAGAGAGAGAGGGAGAGAGAGAGGGAGAGAGAGAGACGGAGGGAGAGAGAGAGAGGAAGGAGGAAGGGGGAAGAGAGAGAGTGGGAGTGAGAGAGACAAAAGGGAAATAAATACAAAAAAATGTGCACAATACAGTAGTTCTGTTTCTAAGAATTGACATAATTGCATTCATAGCACAAAAAACAAAAACACCAACAGACACAATTTACTGAAATATACAAAGAATATACTAAAAATACCGAGACCACAACACAAAAACTCCTCAATCCTTTCATAATATACTGAGATATACTGGAGATTACTGACCTGGCGTCTAATAGGGCTTGCCCAAGGCATTATATTAACGGGGATATCCCCGGGAAGAGATGCATTACTAGTCGAAATATTCCGTCGACCTTGAAGACCGGCTCCGATATGACTGCCCCTCTCTCCTCCTCCACTCCGCCCGACCCCACGTTCCTCTCCGTTGCCATGGTGATGGTGGAGAAAGTCCGATATCATACTGGTGGAATTGGATTTCTTCATAATTTAAAGACAGAGCTTAGGGTGAGAGTAATGGTGGTTTTCTATCTTCTTGACTGGGATTGCTTTAATTGCGAGTGGGCTCCGTCTATAGTGAGAAGAGAGAGATAGAGGGACGTTGGTAAGTGATAAAAATGGTCTCCTTTACCTTTTTGCAAGGAGGGAAACTTGCATTCAAGAGAGGAAGGATTCTAAGGAAAAATCATACACAGTCATGTACACAATAAGGAGTGATGGGCGCGGATAATTATTAAAATGGGCGGAGTTGTAATAACCACAATAGGCGTGGCTTATTATTAAAATAGGCGTGGCTTAAAAGATTTTGATAACCCGGAGGCGTGTTTCGTAATTTTTAATTTAATTTTCTTGGCTTTTTTTTCGGGCGCCATGTTTAGTGTTTTAGTTGTAGTTCTTGTTCTCCTGTCCCCCTCTCTCGTTTCAAGCGATGAACATTCTCACAGAGTAAGAGAACAACCGACAAAAATGATAATTTATTCCGACATATACAAAATATAACTTGTCTTTTTCTCTCTTTTCTCTCTCTTCTCCCTCTCCTTCTCAGTACACAGACGGTGAAGAGGTGGTTCTATGGATGAACACCATCAGTCCTTATCACAATAGACAGGAGACGTATCGTTATTTCTCTCTCCCTTTCTGTCGTGGCCCGAGACACGATATATCTCATCATCATGAGACTCTGGCCGAAGACCTGCAGGGGATCGAACTGGAGTATAGTGGAATTGATATCACCTTTAAAAGTATTATTATTATTTATTTATTTATGTATTATTATTATTTTTTCTTGTATTATGAATAATTACAGCACCTTAATACATGTACATGTGCCATTTCATAAAAATGTTTTGAATTTCTAATCGTGGAAATTCAGTTTTGTGATTTTTCTGCTGCAAGCTTAAATGGAAAGTATTTATTTGATAAATGTAAATAAATGATAATTTGCTAGAGTAAAGTCACAATAATATTTTCAAAAAATATATGTACATGTACATGTATAATGTATTTGACTATAGAATTAGAACTGTATCTACATTGTAAATGTATAATACCATATAGCGGGAAATTTTGGAGGGACTAAAATTTGGCAAATTGCTAATTTTTGGTGACTGGCAAATTTGTGGCCACGTGCCATTGAGCATGCGTATAATGGCTCAAAATGGCAAATTTTATTTTGGCGAATGGCTATTGATATGCCAAATTCATCAAAATTAATTCCCTCCAAAATTTCACGCTATACAGTAATATGGCATACTAATTAATATAGATCATGTACATGTACATGGATGTATTTTTAGATAGTCTTTCTTGAAAGGCATTAGCTATATTCTTTATTACGTTTCTGTCATCTTCTCTTTCTCTCTCCTTCAGATAATATAGAGAAGATGGTTTATTGTCAAGTGACTGTTAATGATGTTGTTTTGAAAGCATTCACTTACGCCATAAGGAACCAGTACTCATATCAAATGTATATTGGTAAGGATAATGATAGTGGTGAATTATTGATTCTCTCTCTCTCTCTCTCCTCTCTCTCTCTCTCTCTCTCTCTCTCTCTCTCCTCTCTCTCTCTCTCTCTCTCTCATAGATGACTTGCCTATATGGGGTAAGTAATTACATATATACATGTACACATGCAGGGTTTTGCCTAGAAAAAAATTAGAGGTGGTTGGAGACTAATATTATTCTTTTTAAATTCATGTACACCATACTAGTAGACTACAATATCATGCTTTATGTATGGTTATTAGTATTAATTGGATGGTTGGTCTAAGTGATGAACTGGCTGGTTTATTTGTTGAGGTGGTTGTCCCAACCACCCCCAACCACCATAGGCAGGACTATGTACATGTACATACACATGTACATGTACCTGTATGTGCTTTTTTGTATAAAACTTAATTATCATAATTTCATGTATTTCCATTAGGTATTGTTGGTGAGTTCACTCCTGAAGGTGATGATGATAATAAAAAAGAAAGTGAAGTATTCATTTACACGCACAAGAAGTTTGATATTGGCTATAATAATGATCAGGTGAGAGTTTATTAGGCACATGTACATGTAATGGATGAATGTTAGCAAGAAATATCAATTTAAGAAAATTAATTATAGTCCATAAAT